TATTCAGTGGACCAGGGTTAGGGTGGTGCCAATCCAATCAGGGACTGATCCGGCAGTCACCCACCCTTAATCCCACTATTGCAGTAGAATCAATTATACGCTCTACATTCAGCTGCCTCTGAAAAAACCTTATGAGCACATGAGGCTCTGGGGGACATCTAGACACAAACCATAACATGAGGTGAGGGGGAGCATGTGGGGTGTGGGATCAGCATGCTGGGTTTAACCCAGCTGTCCCTGATGTGTGATTTGGGTTACCTCACTTAACCTCTCCGTTTAGGTTTCATTATCCGTGAAATGAGGAAGATAATGCTCACTCTGGGAAGGGCTGGAGACTGGGTGTAAGTGTTCCTGACATTCTCCGTAAGAACCTTATTGGTTTAAGGTTCATTACTCCTCGGAGTCATCAACCTCCTCCAAGCCGCTTCTCCCCAGAGGTCGAAGATCACCAGCCACGCTCTCCTATCTGAACTCAGTGGCTTCTTCCAAGTCTTTCTTTCCTTTGATCTCTTTTTTTACAGCATTTGTGACAAGTACCGTGGGCTTCATGAGCCTTCCCCTCGCTCTCATCCTACACATTTAGGATCTGCCCTCCAAGGCTATGCGTTCCTTTAAGTCAGGGAGAATGTCTGATTTGTCTCACTTTCCCAGCACATAAAACATGTCTTGGCTCATAGAGTGATTGCTCCATAAATGTTGCTTAAATAAGTTAGAAATAAGGGTTATATCCCTTTTACTCCCTCCCACCTAACAGCCCGACTCTTTCACCTCTCCTAATTTGTAGACTCCTCTGGACTTTGACTTTTTATTTTTCCTTTAATGTGTTCTCTGTGGGAGTGAAAATGAGCAGTGAGTAGAAGTCAGATCATTCCAGGCGGAGGGAACAGGACGTACAGTGACTCTGAGGGACAAAAGATCCTGCTTTGTTTCAGGAGCCCAAAGACACCCAGTGTGAGTCAAACCTGTAACCCAGGGTTGCAGATGCAGATGAGAAGGCAGCATCAATCAGGACAGGCTGCGTTTGCTGTGGTAAAAAGCAGCCTCCACATCTCACCACAGAGTCTTGTCTTTCACCCACGAAAAGCCCACTGTGCATTTGAACAAATCTCCAGGACCGCTCTCCTCCAGGAATAGCAGTTCACCCTTGTCTAATCTCATCACCAGGCTCTGGCACCACCTTGTCCCTATTGGCTCCCCTCGGGGGAGCAGCAGGAGAAGAAAGTGCAGTAGAGAGATGGACGGACTCTCAAGGCTCCTTTGTTCACGCCTGGCTCACACCGGGCCACATCTTCCCTTCAGGACTGTGAGGAAGTGTGGTGGATAGAGGGGAAGCAAGTGCAACTCCCAGCCTTCTGGATATCCGATACGCCGAGCTCATGTTCCCCAAAATTGAAAATTGAATTCTAAGGAACCATGGGGATTAAGAGTAGGAAAATTTTGTTGAGAGAGACAGCTCCTGAGAGGTCCAGAAGGGGGCCTGGAAAATGTGCTGCCATGGACCCTATTTTACAGACTAAGTTTTACAGAACAAAATCACGAGGTGGGTGCAAAAGTCACTGAGTGGGCACAGGTGGGACAGAACTATGACAAACCAGTAAGATCACAAGTTTAGCCGTTGAGGTAATGTTGGCCCAATGGGGAAGCAGGTCGCATACTAAGTGTACCTGGAGAGAACAAGGGCCTTTTAGGAAGACACAGGTCAGGGGGTCCCAGCCGCCTAGCCGAGTGACTGATATTAATGTTGATTTAATGTTTATGTCCTGGGGAGGAGTGTGGGTCTGGTCGTTTTGTCTTTATCTTGAGGCCTGGCCTCCATGTACACAGCTGTGCTGTGTTTTCACCCTCTGTACTGACTCCCTCTAGGGCCCAGCCCTGTCCGACTGCTGTGGTGTTTCTCTCTAGTCTATAATACAGTCATCCCATGGCCCCAGAAGGAGAGAGGACATGAGACAAGGCTGAACAGGCACCTGGCTAGCGCAGAACAAGGCAGCCAGGACCCAGAGGGCCTGAAAGGGGTAACACAGTAATACATTTCATTCTGAATACAGTAAGCAGCGCTGAGGAGCTTAGAGGAGGTGGGATGCAGGAATGAGGAGGCGGTGAAAGACGGTGGGGGTGGGGGGGAGTGACCCGGAGAGAAGGGAGTGGGAGGGCGTGAACCCACAGGACTCGACAGGCAAGAGTTAGAGGAAGGGGTTGTACCGGCGACTCCCCTAACTGAAAACCATCCACGAATCTCCCCAGCTTCTAGAGTCCTCATTATTCAGCCTGGAGTTATGATTTCTTCAGCAATGGTTTAAGAGGCCAGATTCCAAGAAGTAACTATAAGATGCAGAAAACTCTTCGTCTAAGGAAAGGCAGACTTAGTGCTCACAAGGTCCGGTCAGTTGACTCACTGCTACCAAGGCTGGCCCGAGGGGGCCTCTGCTTTCCCCTGGAGAGTAGTCATCGGGTGCCTGGGTGGGCTGGGGACAGTGTTCCCTGTCTTAGAGCTTGAAGGGAGATGGGGGCAGGGCTGATCATCCTGTCTCTCTGCTTCCCACAAGACTGCTGCCGCCAAGAGCATTAGGGCAGAACGCTGTGTGTCTGACACACACGCACACACCCTCCTACAACTCCTGGGCTGTCAGACTGGCTGGGGCAAAGTACTCGGATGACTGTCTGGGAAGTCACTCCTCCCCCGTGCTGGTTTTCTTTCCCGCTCTGCTCAGAACAGGGACTAGCCTTTTTGCACACTCTCCACTCCAACAGCAGAAGGCTTTCCTGAGGTAGAAAACAACCAGCTCAGCTTGTAATCCTTTCCTTTGGACCCCAGGCCTCCCAGTTTCCAGAGAGAACTCCACACTGTAGCTGCTGCTCCCAGCCAGCCGGGCAGGTCCGTCCCGCCCCAGCCCGGCTCAGCACTGTGCTGGCAGAGGTGGGTTCTTTGCTGAGTGACTTCCCAGAGCCACAGACCTCCCAGGTGTAACAGGAGGCAATGACACCATCTGGGGTGGCAGGTGGGCTGGGGAGGAGAAAGGGAGAGAGGGGAGTTTCCCCTAAGCCTGGAACAGAAAGTCTTTTCCAACAACTACGACCAGCTGGCTCTGTCCAGCCTCTCCCCCTATTGTAATTAGTTAACACCAAAAAGAGTCAGAAGGAGAAAGAGAAAAACTCTTTTACACCACGAAAGCACAACTGCTTAAAGAAGGGTCTTTGGCCAGGTGTGGTAGTTCACACCTCTAATCCCAGCACTCACGAAGAATCGCTGTGAGTCTGAGGCCAGCCTGGGCTACATAGTGAAACCCTGTCTAAAGGGTTTTAAAAAAACAGAAAATACAAAAGTCTTAGGCCAATGGTTTACTTTAATCTTCAGAATGCTGCTACCACAGTATACGCTCCTCGAGGCCTGCGGTATTAGGGTTACTATAGGAAATTGCTCCTTTGACAGCAAGAGCTGTTTTCCATGTAAATGTGCCCTCCAAAGGGACAGAACTGTAAAGGTACAGTGCTGTGATTTATATATTTTCCTTCAGCAATCACTGTTTTGTGTTTTCCTGGGGACTGTCAGGACAGGTATGGCTGTAGCAAAAGACTAGGTGATGTTTTTTTGGAACCCGGGATATCAAGGAGCCTTAGCTATTAAGTATGCATTTCATGTAAATGAAGGAAAGCCGAGTTCCACAGCAAAGTTTCCCACACTGCAAAACAAGGGGAGAGGGGGCATCGCTGCCCATCCCTCTGTTCTGTCTCTACCTAGGGCCTCCCTTAGGCGGGACCCGTTCAGTGCCAGCACCAGCGAGCTGACGGTACTTGAGGAAGTGGCCAGAACCGGCCTGCCACTCTTACTGGTGCTCATGCCCCCTTCCCTGCCATCCCTTTGGCTCGCGTTAGCTGCAGGCTTTTCTTTCCTCAGCCCTCTGCCAGGGTATCTCGCGGTACAGAACTCGGCTGCCAGCCTGGCCATTAGCTCCAGAGAAAAGCAGTGCCCTGGAGTCCAGGGCTGTGGATCCCTGGAGACTGTTTTCTGTTGTACTCACATAAGCCTTCGTGCTGTGATGACCCCGTGGTAAAATCAGTCAGAGCTCCCTGTTCAAACA